TGTTGCTGCTGCTGCTGTTGCTGCTGTTGCTGATGGTGATGATGATTTAGAGTTTGTTGCAAATTATTTGCAGACGTTTCTTGTGTACCGCTGCTGGATTGAGCCGCTATTGAAGACGCCATTTAAAGTTCTATACTCTTGCATGGCTCTCGAATGTTGGAGTGCCGCACAAAAGATAAGCGGAAGATCACGCTGCTGGCAAAGTGTTTCTTTTCTACGCTCTGCTCTCAAAATTCTATTGAGATTACTGTCTATTGGTATTGGAATCGAATGTTTTTCGTTTTTTTTTTTAATTGTTTACGTTTTTTGTTGTTTTTTTTGTTGTTGTTTTTGTTTTTGAAATATAGCGTTTACTGTTCGTTTGCTTTCTGCTGGTTGTTGTTGGCGTTGTTGTTAATTTAAATTTGTACATTAACTTTTGTGCTTTAGTTTTATTTGACGAAATAAAAGTTGACTTTAATATTAATTTGTATTGTAATAGAAAAAAAAAATTTTGTACACTTGTTTTAACACTTTTGAGGTAGTTTTTCAACTAAATTTTCGTGCGTGTTTTCTTCCTTTCTTTTGCTATGATTTTCATAAATGCCATTAGAAGTTGTTCCAAAAATTTTCATTTTTCATTTACAATTTTTTTGTTTTTTTTCACTACGTTTTTTGTCACACTATCTGTCTGTAATGATTTTTATTATTATTATTATTGTTGTTATTGTTGTTGTTGTTGTTGTTGTTGCAGTATTTTATTAAGAAATTCATTCAGCGATTACTTATTAAATAATTTCAATTATTTTTACTAGTATTTCATGTGTTTCGTTTCTGTGTGTGTGTGTTTTTTTTTTATGCAAAAAAAGTTTCAGTTAAATGAAATTTCTATTTCGATTGTGTTTTTTTATTTTTATTTTTTTTCTTCTTACTTTTTGGCTTTAAATATACGAAGTTTAGCTATATATTTTACATTATATGCTGATTAAATATGCAGTAAAAAATGTCTTTCAGTGTATACTGTGCAAATTTAACACTAACAATGGTTAAAAAGGTTTTGGTTTTCGGCTTTTTTTTTTTTTTTTTTTTTTTTTTGTTTTTTTTTTTTTTTTTTTTTTTTTTTTTTTTTTTTTTTTCTGTCAATTAATTGATTATCGCTACGGTTATGTGAATATTTGTTATATTATTTTGTAATATTTGTTATTTTTAAGAGTTTTTTTTTTTTTAATAAAAAATTTTGTACTTTAACTTTTTGTTGTTTATGAAGAATAAAAAAATTTTGTTTTTGTTTTGCTTTATTAAAAAAGATTTGTATGTATGTGGAAAATTTGTGGTTTGGATATTCAAAAAAATTTGTAACGTTTTCTTTTTTTTCTAAAAATTTGTGAAGAGTTTTTTTTTTTTCTTATTTATTTGTATTGTATTATTTAATTATAATTTTTGTAAGTTTGTCAGACTTTTTTTAATTTTTTTGCTTTTTTTTTCAATATATTTGTTTTGGCTTTATACTTTACATTTTTCGTTTCCTATGTATTGTTTTGTAATCATAATTTTTTTTTTTTTTTTTTTTAAATTAAATTTCTTAGGAAATTTTGTACTTTGTGTTCTTACGTTTTCTGGTTGTTTTTGTGTTTAAATTTTCGTTTTTTTTTTTTTATTTTCTTTGTTTTTGTTTCTTCTTATTATTTGTTTAATTATTGTTGGTTTATGTAAAAATTAATATATATGTAATAAAATGTAAAATTTGAACATGTCTCGTTTTGGATTTTAATTAATTTTTATTTTATTGCTTGTTTATGCAGCAACGAGTCTCCTCGAATCGTAACGATTCGAATTGAATCGAACTGAATGGAATTATTTTTAAAAATTTTTATTTTTTTTTTATTTTAATTATTTGCTTCCGTTTGTTTGTTTTGCTTTTATTTTCTTACGTAATTACTATTTGCATTTTTTTTTTTTTTTAATTTTTTATCAATTTATTTATTTATTGATTTATTTATTTTTTTTTTTTTTAATTATTTCTCTACATCATTCCAATCATATGCTTACACACATATATGAAGATATTTATTTATAGATTTGTATATATATATCTATATATATATATATATATATATATATACATATATATAAATATATATTTATGTATATATGTATATATGCATATACAAGTATGTATAAAAAAAATTGTTAGCGAATTTTTTTAGAAAAATTTTGATTTATTTAAACAATTTTTTTATATTTCGTTATGAGCAGCTTTGCTTTTATCCTTGCCGCCGATTTATCTGCAATTATAACAAAGGCAAACAAAGAACGAGTTATTAATAAGAAATGGTTCAATAATCCCGAAAACTAACTATACATAGCTGGACATATTGAAATATTATATATACACATTGAGGTTCGAAGAAATGAGTGAATGGCTTAAAAAACTCTTAATTATTCTCTATTTATCATTATGATGTTTTTTTTTATTTATTTATTTTAATTACGATTAAAAATTACAATAACTTCGTACGAAAGGCAGTGAGCACTGAAGGGAGGTGAGTATCCCATTTCACGCATTTGCATATGTCGCAAACGTTTCTGCGCATTTCTCTTTATCTAATCTTTTACATAATTCCTTCCCGCTCACTCATACTCTCTCCCTATTGTTCTCTTACTCCCTTTCTCTCTCTCTCTCTCTCTCTCTCTCTCTCTCTCTCTCTCTCTATTTTTATATTTCTTTGTCTATTCCTTTTCTCACGCATACATATAAGGCTGCATCAACCAGCAGGGGATAACCCAGATTTGCGATAAATCTTAGCGATCCTACAGAGTACATACATGTCTGACCAGGACAAGCTTTTAAATCGTTTTAGTCATATCTATCTATCTATCTATCTATCTATCTATCTACCCGACCGTTCATGTATCCATTATTGAGAAAAACGTCATAAGCTTGCCACATATATTTTCAATTGATGGTTATAAGTTGCTAAAAATTTAGGGCATGGCAATCATGAACGTAAAATGTAAGGCAAATATTTTTCAGGAGAGATAGAAATTTTTACCAAAAAACGAGGTGAGTGAGATATTCGCGATTTAACCACGTCCACCCAATCCATTTTTTGTTTGGGCAATGGTCGTTTCTTGGTCATATTAGCTTCAAATTTGGCGAAAGTATTGGAAATACTTGCGTGCAGATCAATGGTCAGAGCGAATAGCTCGCTTACAGTACAACAATGTAAACAAACAAAACTTGAGCAGAACAGCTATCCATGGTCGAATCTATATATATATATAACAGATATATATATATATTTATATATAAATATATATGTATTTTACTAGTGCGAATAGTGAAATTGATTTAACCACGTCTGTCTGAATATCCGCCAATTGGACTTCTTGGCGTATCTTCTTCGCCGAGAAAAAGACATTTGTATTCAAATTTATGCACTCTTCGTTCATCTCGGCTTATGCCTATGGTAATTATTTGGTAAGTTGTTCCAAGAATGCAATTTTAAGAATATGTCGTCAGCAATTTTCAAGTTTTCTATCTCGAATTTTAAGTTTGATCATCGTGCCAAGTTTGTGACACTGTTCAATTGGAAGAAGGTCCGTAAGCTAATTAATAAAAAAACGCTAGTTTATAAATAGGGCGGAGTAAGGAAATGTGTTTTTTATTTTTATTTTTTTTTTTTGTTTAATTACGTAGAAATGTTTGTCTAGTTCATAACGTGACGAAATTAATCGTTCTTCATTCTATATTATGAGACCGTATCGTACGGTATGCGTACATGTAGATAAGTACATGTAATATACAAACTATTGCTGGATGTTAAAAAACAAAAAAGAATAAGAAGAAAACAAATAAATAAAACGTTCTTGATTAGTGAGCGGTATAGGACCGCTTTCTGCATTGAAGTGAAGAAGATTAAGTATGATGTGTTAGCCTTTCATCTTAATTTTCATGCGAATTTAAATATTGACAATATAGACGGTAGATTGGTGGATAACCAGATAATAAGTTGATGTACAACTAAAGCAATTCACGTTCGTATGTTGGCCAAGAGTGGGGAAACTTTTCGAACCGTATCACTGGATGATATTTCGAGAATTTTTGAATGTATAGCACATGCTTATCCCCCGATATGCTTGGAATAACATTTTTCACCCTTGTATTACTCATACGTATCGTTATGTGTACACATTTGTGCTACTTTCTTTTCATATTAAAATTTATATTCATTTATATGCAGCAATATTGATATGATTTATTAAAGCAGACTCTCAGCATTTCTGATTCTATTAACTGACATTTCCTTATGCACTCACAATGAATATTTAATAAGAGGTATTTATAAACAATCAAAAACAAAAACAAACAAAAAAAAAAAAAAAAAATGAAAAGAAAAGAAAAGAAAAGAAAAGAAAAACACGCAAGCATTGAATAAACAAATCCTTTAATTAATCCTTAATCAAAGTCGTTTATCAAATTTTTAAAGATATTGTCCGTTTGCTACTCATTTAAAGATACTGATAGACGGAAGCGTATCATTGCTTTTGACTGGTAACAAAAATGTGAAAAACTCTTTCCCAATAGGAGCACGTGAACACAAAATATACCAACATACGCATATATATATATATTTGCTTGCATACGGTCATGTACATACATAAGTATAAGTATTTGAACCAACTCTCTGTTCACTTTTGTACTTTATGTTCGCATAACATTTATTTTTTGATTTTTTTTTTTTTTCTCTTATCGTTGTTGCTCACAAATTAGGTCACCAAGCACATGCACTTTGTGAAAAAAAAAAAAAAAAAAAAAGGGAAAAAAATTAACCCTCATATTTTGTTGCATTCATAATTACGAACATGTAAAAATACTTTTTGAACTTTCTTTTTA